GTATGTATGTATGTAGGTATGTATGTATGTATGTATGTATGTATGTATGTATGTATGTATGTATGTATGTATGTATGTATGTATGTATGTATGTATGTATGTATGTATGTATGTATGTATGTATGTATGTATGTATGTATGTATGTATGTATGTATGTATGTATGTATGTATGCATGCATGCATGCATGCATGCATGCATGCATGCATGCATGCATGCATGGATGTATGGATGGATGGATGGATGGATGGATGCATGCATGCATGCAATCAAGTATCTATCTATCTATCTATTGTGTGTTTATTGTGCCAAAAAAAGAAAGTTTTTGGGACATCTACAATTAGAAGATTATGTGAGCACAATTTCTAACACGATTACCACGACATCTAAATTTCTAACACAATTTGCGCAGGTTATACAAATGTTATTATTTTTGCAACATAACATCCATATTTTTCAATGATTGGTTATTGTCAACAATTTTCTTCTTCTACATCTTCAATGTGTTATTCATTTGATTTTTTGAGTTTCATAAAGCAAATAAATATAGAATAAAAGTTATTGGGTATATTATTTACTGATGAATTCATTATTATTTATACAAATGATCGTCATAATGTTAAAAATTTATAAAAAATTATTATAATGCAACACAAACAGAGTAAGAGCATATACAAGGAAAAACGAACACTAAAAACGCAGACACAAAGCATTATAAACATTGTATAAGAGTTAACGGCCAGGCTAGAGGAATAAATTAGGGAGGAAACTAGAGGGTAAATTAACATGGAAAGAAGATCAGAGGGAAGATATGAAATATTTTTATTACCCTAAATCTATTTGTTCCACTTTATTTTTTGCATTTGTTTCTATTGCTCTCTGCTTCCCAAATTGATGTGCCCAATCTGAGAATTACTCATCAAAAAGAGAAACAATATAAACCACATGCTCCTTTGCATGGATGGAAACATGCGCTGATGAGCAATTAAATTGGGACGCCCAACGATCTTGGTTACCAGGGCGACAAGCCGATTCGGTGAAGAGGAAACCTGGTCTAGTGGACTAGTCGATTTGAACCACATTCTCTTTTGCATATATGGAAACATCTTTTGGTGTGCATTAAATTGGGACGAACAAAAAAAGAAAACGGACCTAATAAATTGTTACATAGGGAGTGTATAAACTAAGAAGTCCAAAAACATACACAAAGTTGTAGACTTAATTATTCACGTTTCATTTGCGTGTTTTTATGTAAGACCAAACACAAGCAATTAGTTTATTTTGAAATATCATTCTTTACCCTAGCATTATGCGAGATCAAAACATACCCTAACTGTTTGTTCCAGGGATACAATGCTCTGAAAGATTATTTTCCAACAATGGCGATGAAACCAAATGTTCAATGTTCAAATCCAGCGTGTTTGGAGCGACAAGTAAAATCACTTTGACCTTATATGCTCTTTTTGATTTACCAAAGCACTAGGATTTTTTTAGGATTTTCTGGTGTTAGGTGCTAAAAAGCATTGTTCCACAAGGCTATTATTTTCCTCGTTTCTTTGCAATTCCGTGAAAAGAATATTTTTTTTCAACCTTCATCTGTATTATTTGTTTTGTTTTTAAATATGGAATCATATTTAGTAAGTTCTTATCTAATCTAATTGAAGTTATATTTAAAGCTTTTTTTGATCAGATCTAAATCCAATAAGAATAAGTAATAAGTAAAAAGAATAACTTGAAGAGAACAAGCTCTAACTTATTTTCCTTTGAAAAAAAAATTCACAGCAATTAATTTTCCTGGAAACAATACTCCCTACATTAATTTACATATCAATTCAGTCTAGATCGGATTACCTTTCTAAATGCAGCGGGAATACATTCTTGCCAAGCCGGCCAGAGATGCTGCTGCAAAAGCAATGGCAGAAGAAGAGTCAAAAGTAGCAGAGGGCCCCATTCATGCTGAGAATGAATGGAACATAAGGTGTGGCTTCGATATTTTTACCCCCACCCCACCCAATTTTTTGATGGAGAATGGTTAGGGAATTATTTTTTTATCTAGGACGTCATTGGTTCAAGGAAAGATGAGATAAATGGAGGGGAGCTCCCTTCCAATCTATCGATCTTTGAATGTACTAAGGATGTTTTTGCCCATGAAATAATTAAAGATGAATTTAACTAAGACCATTGGTATATGATCCTTTACAGTGTACTGGGTGACAGTGAATTAGGGAGTGCGAACGCCCAAAGTTCAGGTAATTCTTCACAAATTGATCGGCATAAGGCTATTTTACATATGAGTATCAAGTTGGTGTGTTTTTTTTGTTTTTAAAGAAAGCATTTCTTTTTTAATGGAGTAATTGATTAGTATCCCTTTTGCTTATCCTTTCTTTAGGTCTCCTACCAGAAGGTGTTGTTCATGAGCTACCATCTGCAGATGAATTTCCAACACATCCAGCTTCCGGCGGCCCTGCTGATGACGACCTTGATGAACTTAGAAAGCAACTTGACGCTCTCAATGCCAACTAATCTAGACTTGGGAATGAGCTAAATGTTTGCGGTGGTAAAAAGCCTTTTCCATTTGCTTTCATGGATATATGCTACGCGAGTATAGAGGAACTTGAAAGACTGGGAGGAAATTAATTTCCCTTTGTTAATGACTTGCGGTTTTGCGTGGGCACAGGAGAAGGGTGGGTCTCAGATTGAACTGATGAACTTAATTTAAAATATTCCGAAGGGCACATTCAAAATACACGTGTTGATTGTTTGAATTCCTCTCAAATTTCCAATTTCGGCACTTTTCAATCAAAACTTGAAAAAAGTGATACCAAACAACTGGGGCTTCTAGTCTTTTAAACGTCATGTTGGTTCACATAAACATACACTCTATGGTTCGTAACCTCACAGCATTTTTAGAATTCTTCTGAACTTTCCACTGATCGGTGCTCGCTGTTGCTGATTTCTGCCGGCAATCACCGTTGACCCCTGCTGTTGATTCCCATGGCCGTCTACCGTTGTTCCCCTCTGGCGGCTGAAATTTCAAAAAAAAAAAACAAAAAATGGATAGAAATCGTACAACCTTTGTTGAAGCTGATTCACCTTAAGGCAAAAAATATACAACACTGGAGTAACTTTTTTTTGGGAGCCATAATTGGTTCTTTATAATATGAGATTTTCCTATTTAGTCCTTTATTATCAAATATTATTTCAATGATTCTTCATTTATAGGTATCTTTTCATAGATAGTTTTTTTTATCTTTTATCATATTGGTCTTAATTTGAGAGTCAAAAGTATATCCTTCTTTTCAAACGCAGTTCCAAAGGCTACTCCTGATGCATCGTTTGTGAATTGTAGTCGCTTTTTTCTACTGCAATCATAGTATACAGATATGGATCATAATATACAGATATGGTCTTCCGTCGGAAACTTAGTCCACAATCATAATCAGAATATGTTACTAAACATAAGGTTAATGTCAATTTATACTTTTAGTATTTAAAGTACGGCTCGGTTCCATGGCCATTGGATTCCAGTGGCCATGAAACCGGGCTCTAAAGTAACATGAATATGGTAGAAGATAAAAAATAAGATTATTTGTGGAAAGGTACCTATGAAAAGACTACTGGAGTGATATTTAATGATAGAGGACTAAATATGATAAATTCTTGATTATAAAGGACCAATCATGGAATTTATTTTTTTTATGTATTACATAATAGAACTTCTAACAAAATTTAAGAAAAATCTTTTTGAAGATGATTTCTCTTATTTTAAGTACTCCGTACTAATTTGGAATCAAAACAAATTTTAAAAAAATCAAGAAATATCATAAGTACCGAATTATAACTGGCAAATTCTAAGTAAGCTTTTATAGATCTTGTCACGTTGTTTCACAAGCATTTAGATAATGTTATGACGTCAATGACGACATGAAGTCATGAACATGAGTTCTTTGTTAATCTATTTATTTAAAAATAGTAATGACTAGGGGCACGCCTCATTCCTCCATTTGTTTTTTATTAATCTATTAAAGATATACTAAAATAAGTAATCAAAAGTAGATATACACAGATGCTGTGTCACGAAATGCAATACCTCATTTTGTTATCTCTAACATTGCCTATTTATTTATTACTCTTACCTGTTGGTCTTAACTTGGGCAGATGCTACTGAATGGTTGGATCATGGCTAACCCATCGCATACAAAAGTATTAAGTTAGTTCATAAAAAAGTAAAATGCCCACCTCATGCACCCCCACACAGTGGCCAGGAGGCCATGAGTGGGGGCACATTACGGGGGTCTGTGGGCAGCGCCCCCGGATTTTTTTATTATTAAAAACACAATAGAAATGTCAAAAATTTAATAAATTTTCTCAAATATTCAAATACTTCCTCCGTCCTAGATTATTTGTTTACTTTAACTTTTTCAAGTCAAACTGAATAAATTTTAATCTTCAATTACTCTCAATTTATATTGCATATTAATAAAATGAAATAAAATGTTGAAAGTTCTAAACAAATTAAGGTTGCGTTCCATTTGCCTCGTATGATCTGATTTTTTGAAAACCTGGTATGATTTGATCTGGTTTGATCTAATTTGATTATAATAAGAATAAGTAATAAGCACAAAAAATAAGTTGAATGAAATGCTGCCTAAATTTAATAAAATCATTGTTATATTAATAAATATTTTAGCTTTTACTTAACCGAGCCTCAAAGTTTATCTAATTTGACTTGAAAAAGTCAAACTAGATGAATGATAGAGATAGTAGTTCAAAACAAAATAATTAAATGGCATTATAATTAGTATGCCTAATAAAAAAATAATCTCTTTTTAAAAGGGTATTCAACAATAATCTCTTAAAATAAGGGGAAAAATCAAATTACTCTATTACTCCGTAAAAAAAACTTACATTTCTTCACCTAAAAACAAAAAACCAACAATAATTTACTTCGTATTGAAAACAAAAAACCACCAATAATTAAATGTTCTTGAGCAGATTTATAAATTGAAGCATTAAAATTAATGTTTTAAAACAAATTTATAACTTAAACCATTAAAATCACCTGTGGTGCACAGCTGCTTTGGCGCTAGGCGATTGGCGGAGGGGAGGGCGGAAACCGGAAGAATATAAGCCAATGAAGAGGTTGGGTGCTTGAAGATAGGATGAGAAAACGGTGGAGTTGCTGAATTGGTTAACGAACCGATCTGGAGACCGGAACACCACATTCGTTTCACTAAGGCCTTTTTCCCTAAGAGTATCTTTTAAAATTATTATTTTTAAAACACCTATGTAAAAAAAACCTGCAACTCAACTTCCTCACTAGAACAGCGGACATCGGACTTGGGGGAGCACGACTTGCGCATCTTCGTCGCTGGTACTTTGGCGGACATTCGTTGGGGGGCACGTGCCTAGGCAGCTCCCCCCTCCCCTCCGCCCCTGCCCCCACACCTAAGTCTGACTAGATTGTGAGGGAAGTAAATCATTGTATAATCTTAATCTGATTCTTAGAGAGGTTGCCCCGTGCCCGATACGCACAAAGAGCTACTATAAATAATAGAACTCCACACTATTGTTGTCGAGATTCGACCCTAGGATCAACGGGCTTGACATCCTCTCCTTGGAGCAGTTGAGCTACCCATGCGGGCGTTAAGTTAGTTTTTAAATACTAGGGATGAGCAAGGACCGAGCCGGATCGAAAATTACGAAAAAAACCAAATAGAAAAATACTCGTGTGAAAAAATACTGCTATTTGTTGACTCGTCAAATTTATTGACATATGGGGTAGTGTTAGCCTTGTGCTAAGCCTCATGTTTTGATGTTAACAAACAATATAAGAGCTTGACGTTTGTTTAAGTGTGTTTCAAGTACAACAAGAATCCATTAAGATTCGGTACTCAAAAATGAAGTTAAAACACCAAACTAGCGTAGAATATATGTAGAAACCAATGTAAGGATATGATTTTATATACATATATTCACAAGCTCAAAAACACTCAAAAAATATGTTTAAAACCCTTTTAAAATAATTTTCAAACATCCAAAAGGTTTTAAACAAAATTGTAAATGATTTGGACAAAAATGAAAAAATTGTCAAAATGGTCATAAGGTACCTAGGTACCATATGCACGGGACCCCCCTATCGTGTGGACGGGACCCCCCCTACCGTAAGGGGTACCATAAGAGATAGGTACCGCCAGAGAGTTTTGGCCTGAGAAGGTACCTAGCTACCGTAAGCACGGGACCCCCCTACCGTATGGACAGGACCCCCCTACCGACTGGACGGAACCCCCCTACCGTGACCGTTGGATTACTGTTCCTGATTTGTGATTTTGACTTTAATCCATCCTAATCACCTCCCAACGGCTAATTAACATCTTCCACTATAAATACAAGCCTAATCCTTCATATTTCTTCAAGAAACAAAGCTCTAAACATCCTCTCTTTTTATTCTAAGTGTGTTCATTCTTCTATTAATTTTTTTCAATATTTTGGCTATTTTAAGAGCCTTAAATTCCTGATTTTTATATACACACTTTGAGCTTGTGTTTCTAGATATATACTCTCATATTCATAAGTTTGAATTGTATTTTTGAGAGAGTATAATCTCCTTCTACACTGGCTAAGTTTTGTCCTTCATTTTTATATTCTAGCGGTTGTGTAGAACCTTTGTTTGTGTTCTTCAAACACACCTTCTTACGGTCGAGAGTAGCCGTTAAATTCTCACATTGTAACGGTCAAGGATAGCCGTATAAATCCTTGGGTAAAGGTTCAAGGATAGCCTTTGAAATCCTTGGGGGAACGGCAGAAGATAACCGTTAAATCTTCATTGTAAATGGTTCGAGATAGCCGTGGCGAAATCTCAGAGTGAATCCTATTGGCAAGGGTTGTTTGCCAAACTAGTACGGTGCTTTGACGGAGTTCAAGAGACTGAGACTTAGTGGATTCGGAAGTCCTTGAGGAGGAGCCTCGAGGTACTGGAGTATGGAGTTCCCGAACCAGTATAAATTCGGTGTGCATTTTATTTACGCTTTTATTTTTGTGTTTTATATATTGCTTCCGCATTTGCCAACACCGTTTTTATTAAACTTCGAAAAGTTTTCAAACGCCTTATTCACCTCCCCCCTCTAAGGCGTGGGCACAACGACTAAACCGACTAACAGAAAGTTCATCACATATTGGTACAACAGATAATATTAGTCTTTTTAATCCCAATATATGTACTTAAACATATTATAGAGTTTTAGAATTACCTTCCGGAGTACATAGAACGTGGAGAGCACGGATGCGGGGCTTAAGTCACTTTGGTCCGAAGACTGTTTTTGAAACCTTTTGCTCCGATACCTAGTTGTAACGCCCCGATTCACAAAACCCAGTTCTCGCGGGTTAACAGACTCGAGCGCTAGCAATTTGGTAAAGTAAGATTCCATAACTTTCAAAAGTAATACTAACAGTAATTTAAAGCATTTAAAACATAGTCTCCTCAAAACATGATAAAATAATTTTCGGAGTAATTTAATTTAATCGTTGCGGAAGCTAAATAAGATTCAACACATTTACAAATATGGGTTATTCAAGTCCCAACATACTTTAAATTATTTAAATTAATTTCCGCATCCTTCTGCCAACTCTCCAGCCTCAGCATCTTCCGGATGGACGGTGTAGCTTATTACCTACACACAGTTACACAACAAAGACAACTGTGCGCTCAGCGAAACCGCTAGGTGCTACCACAACGTAGATTTTATAGAATTATTCATAGTCACAACAAATAAATCAAGTAGTAATTGTGTGAGGTCAATTATCCCTTTTTATAGTTCTATCGTATCCATAATAAAAGTTAAATTACATCCTTAATCATTTTCCCATCTTTTAATCTTTTTAATCCTCGCCATACCATGAAGTCAATCTCCATAGAGAAAGGACTCGATAAGACTTTCCTTGTCCGAGTCTAGGT